GGGTCAGGGCTGGGGATTGGGGGATGTCTGTGGGGCTCCATGTTCAGATCTGGCCCTGCGGGAGCTTTGGGGACTGGAGCTGGGGAAAGTGGGGGACTGTCTGAAGTTGGCTGCTTGGGATGTGGGTGAGGCCCTGGGGAACTGGGCTGCACCCCTGTCACTGCAGTCTGGGGCCCTGCGTTTTCTCTGGAAAAGCTGCTCCCTGTTTCACCCTCTCCTCTCAGTCTGAGGCCTGGTCTACACTACGACTTTAATTCGGATTTAGCTGCGTTAATCCGAATTAATCCTTAACCCGTCCACACAACGGAGCCAGTTAATTCGAATTAAAGGGCACTTAAAATCGATTTCTGTACTCCACCTCGACAAGCGGAGTAGCGCCAAAATCGATTTTGTTAATTCGAATTAGGGTTAGTGTGGCCGCACACCACCGAATTAATGTGGTTAAATTAATGGGGTAGTGTGGCCGCACACCACCGAATTAATGTGGTTAAAAACCGAATTAATGTGCTTAGTGTGGCCGCGCACAATCGAATTTATACAACCTGTTTCCCAAATTTGAATTATCTAAATTCGGATTAATCCCGTAGTGTAGACATACCCTGAGTCCCAGCGACTCTGCACAGGAGTCTGCAGGGCAGGATGGGCCATGAAATCTGACCGCTGGGAGGCCCTTTGCAGCAGTTTCTAACCCTCCCTCCCCTGCTTCTTCTAGGAGGTACCAGAAAAGCATCTGGCCCCTCTGGGAAAAGAGAGAGAAGCAGCCAAAGCGGAGGAGGAGCAGGAAAGCAAGGAGCTGCTGGTAGGTGCCCAGAGCTCCCCGCCACTTAGGTTTGCCTGGCATAAGAATGACATGGTGAATGCAGAGCCCACCCTGCCAGCCTCAGCCAGGGAACCATCCCCACTGGAGCCCAGGGAGCCTGCAGGGTCAAACACGTGGGTAACATGATGCCCTTAGGATGCAGGAGGCTGCTGGGCAGGAGAGGGTCAGTCTGTGTTAGCCCAGAGCCCCTGCCCACAGGCTGTTTGGATGTCACAGTGACCAGGGATCCTTTCTACCTTCTGGGGGGGGGGAGGGGGAAGGAGATGAAATGTGGGCTGCAGAGATGGAGGATTTGGCTCGGTGAGAGTTGATGAGGTTTTGGGGAGAAGAGTCTCTCCTGTTGGTGATGTACAGCTCAACCCTGCCCTGATCCCTCCTCTCTTCCCGGGGTAAATGAACTTTCCATCACTCACCGCAAGAGATCTTGTGTTCTGGTAAATAACTCTGCTACCCGCCCTGAGGTGCATTTATGATTTTCCCCAGTTACCGAGCAGATGAATTTCAATGTTGATAAATGCAAAGTAATACACATTGGAAAAGATCATATCAAATACACATAAAATGATGGGTCTAAATTAGCTGTTACCACTCAAGAAAGAGATCTTGGAGTCATTGTGGATAGTTCTCTGGAAACATCCACTCAATCTGCAGCAGCAGTCAAAAAAGCAAACAGAATATCGGGAATCATTAGGAAAGGGATAGACAATAAAACAGAAAATATCCTATTGCCTCTATATAAATCCAGGGTACGTCCACATCTTGAATACTGCGTGCAGATCTGGTCGCCCCATCTCAAAAAAATACATTGGAATTGGAAAAGGTACAGAGAGGGCCAACAAACTGATGAAGGGTATGGAACAGCTTCCATGTGGGGAGAGATTAATAAGACTGAGGCTATGGCTACACTACATAGCGATTAGCAACACGGCTGTGCTGCTAAAAGTCGCGCAGTGTAGCTGCTGTTTGTTGGCAGGAGAGAGGTCTTCTGCCGACAAAAATCTTCCACCTCCCACAAGCGGCAGCAGCTTTGTCGGTATGAGAGTGCTCCTGCCGACAAAGCGCTGTTCACCCTGCTGCTTTTCATCGCTAAAATTTGTCATTCAAGGGTGTGTTTTTTTAACACCCCTGAATGACAAGTTTTGCCAACAAAGTGCCAGTGTAGACAAAGCCTGAGACTGTTCAGCTTGGAGAAGAGACGACTAAGGGGGATATGGTAGAGGTCTATAAAATCACGACTTGTGTGGCGAAAGTAAATAAGGAAGTGTTATTTACTTCTTCCCATAACACAAGAACTAGGGGTCTCCAAGTGAAATGAATAGGCAGCAGGTTTAAAACAAACAAAAGGAAGTATTTCTTCAGACAACACACAGTCAACCTGTGGAACTGCTTGCCAAAGGATGTTGTGAAGGCCAAGACACTTACTGGGTTCTAAAAAGAACTAGATCAGTTCATGGAGGATAGGTCCATTAATGGCTATTAGCCAGGATGGGCAGGGATGGTGTCCCTAGCCTGTGTTTGCCAGAAGCTGGGAATGGGCAACAGGGGATGGATCACTTGATGATTCCCTGTTCTGGTCGTTCCCTCTGGGGCACCTGGCATTGGCCACTGTCGGAAGACAGGATAGTGGGCTAGATGGACCATTGGTCTGACCAAGTATGGCCATTCTTATGTTCTATGTTCCCCTGTTACTGAGCCACCCTCTCCCTGTTGCAGAAACAGACGGAAGCCGAGAGGCAGAAGATCGTCTGGGAGTGGCAGGAGCTGCAAGCGTTTCTGGAGGAGCAGGAGCAGCGGCTGCTGTCCTGGCTGGAAGAGCTAGAGAGAGCCATTGTCCAGAGAAGGGATGAGGGCATCTGCAGCCTGTCCTGGGAGATTTCCCTGCTCAGCGAGAGGGGAGGAGAGAAGGGGCAGCAGCTGCCGAGCCAACCCCTGCAGGTCAGGCTGTTATTGCAATGATCATACGCAGTGTTTCTATAGGCGCTTCTGAGCCCTAGACCCCAAAGCACTTTACAGAGTGCGGTCAGGGGCATTATTCCTATGGGACAAATGGGGAAAGTGAGGCAGAGGAAGGGGCAGAGCCCTGCCCAAGGTCACACAATGAGTCTGGCAGCGGCGCCAGGGATGGGTCCTGGGAGTCCTGGATGCTGCAGCTCCAAGACCTTCTCTCCTGGAAATGTCTGTCTGCATTTGCATTTGGAGGGTGAAATCCCCTCCCTCACCGTGCTGAGGTCCCGAGCAAGGCCTAAGGCCCCTCTCACTGCAGGTTAATGGGTTTAGTGGGGCCAGGGGACTTCTGGGTCTCTCAGCACTGGGGGGAATTTGATTCTCAATGCAGAGAAATATCTTCTGCCTGCAAAGTGCCTGGGGAGAAGATTTCTGCAGTGGCGACCTGCCCGCAGGGATTGCTGGGGCTGCGTAGGGGAAAGTCCCTGGTAGGGGGCGGCAGCTGCTCTGGGAATGTAAACCTGAAATTCCCCTGCTGCCCGAGGCTTCAATGGTGACTCCCCTGCAGAGCAGGAGGCCGCCCCACCCAGGGACACTCCCACTGACAGCCTCCTCTTTCTCTCCCTCTTTAGGGTGCTGGGAGCACTGGGGGCAGGTAAGTCCTGGGCTCCATTTCCCTCCCCCTCATGGGCCGTTAGGTTTGATAACTGCACTGAATAGGAAGCTTCCTGTGATTCTGTCTCCCCTAGTGGCTGACTCGGGTAGGAGAAGAGCCGTTTACTGTCTGATCACTAATGAGATCACAGCAGGGCTGCTAGACACAGGGCCGATGGGACAGACCTGGCCTGTCTCCTGGACTGATGTGGCCATGTCACATATTGAGAGGGTGCAGAATCTCAGCTTTTGCATTTTTTAAAGTGAGTTGGTGGCCCTCAGCACTCCCCAGTGTAAACGGAGACAGTGTTGCCTTGCTGGGGCTGCCAGCAACCTGAAGCCATAGCTCTGACAGTGAACTCTCCCATCCCCTGTTAATGTCATCGGAATGTCAACTGAAATGAGAACACTTTGATGTCAACATTCAGTGGCTGATCACTTGAGCAGGTGGATCGGGGAGGGGCTGGGAGTGAAGCCTTTGCAGGGTGGGAATAGGGGATTGCTGTAGGGAGGGAAGAACAGAGGAGAGACACAACGACAAGGAAGCAAGAGAGAAATGGAGAAAGGAGGGTGGGAAAGGAAGGGAAACACAGGGAAGAACTAGCAGGGGCCCTACAGGGGTGTCCGGGAGGGGGCTGTTTTCCTCCTGAGTGACACTGAGTGTGACTGACAAAGACTTGGCAAAATAATGAGAGCTAAAATTTTATTTCCGATACAAAGGGCGGATTCTCCCCTTGTTCCTTGTACGTGGGTGTCCCATGGAGAGCAGTGGGTGTTCTGCTGTGAATAGAGCAAGGTTTCCTAAAATGATGCCCTGGGCCACTGACCATAACAGACAGTGCAAAATGGCCCTCTCTGCCAAAAGAGCTGGACGCCCCAGGGTTACTGCTTCAGCTGAATGGTTCAGGGTTTTTGGTGTTTAAGGGCCCACGTTCATTCCCTCTTGGAGACCTGGGCTCTGTCTGTGGCCACTGTCAGCATGTAGGACCTATCCTCTCTTTGGTCTGTGTCTCCTCCCTTTCCACATAATCCCAGTGCTGGTACCACTTGTTACTGCAGTAAACTAGCGTAGGGGGTGGCTCTGCCCCCCACAGAACCAGAGCATCCCTGAGAAAGCTCCTGAACAATGTCTCCATTCCTTGCTCTAGTATCTCCCCACTTCCCATCTCTCTGGGGAGCACAGGGTTGAGGGCAGGTGACTCATCATGACAATGACCATCTCAGGCTACAAAGCTCAGATCCAGGTTTCCTGGAGTTTGGGGGTTGCTGGGCTCAGGGTCTGGGGATCAGGCCTATTTCTCACCCCTCCTTTCCCCAGCAGGGAGGACGGGATGTTTCGGAAACCAGAGCCCGGGTTTGTGGAGCTGGAGAAGAGACTCGGTGATTTCTCTCTGAAAAGTGCCATCCTGCAGGAGGTGCTGCTGGGATTCAAAGGTGAATTGGAGTCTGGGGGTGGCGTCTCCTCTGGTTAGAGTGACCCTCGCCCTTGGGAGGAGTCAGGGACTCTAGTGATGTCACTGATCCTCGGCTCCATCTCACAGCCCAGCTCAGCGAGTCGCTCTTCCCCATGAAGCAGCCCTGTGGGGCTGGCTCTGTCTGCAGTGGCTGCATTATCGGCCTCTGATCTCTGTCACCATCTCGTAGTTAACAGCAGTTACATTAATAAGCAATTGGGATTTTTCCATGAATGCGAGGGCCTGAATTCTCACCTCTCCCATCTTCTCCCTCCCCTAGAGACTCTGCGACGGGGGCTGGGGAGCGACACAGGTACGTGTCTGTCTCTGACTGGCCATGGGGAGATTTCAGACCCATAACCATGTTAACAACAGGGATCACAGCCTCCAGCACCTGGAAGCTGTGTAATAATGTGAAGCGATGTTACTTTGTTCTTGCACCAGTATATTTTCAACTGACTTGTCTCTTAAATATTTTAGCTCAGGAATCGGCAACCTTTGGCATGCAGCTCACCAGGGTAAGCACCCCGGAGGGCCGGGCCGGTTTGTTTACCTGTGGAGTCCTCAGGTTCGGCCGATCGCGGCTCCCACTGGCCGCGGTTTGCCACTCCAGGCCAATGGGGGTGGCAGGCAGCACATCCCTTGTCCCGCGCCACTTTCTGCAGCCCCCATTGGCCTGGGACAGCAAACCGCGGCCAGTGGGAGCCGCAACCGGCTGAACCGGCGGACGCGGCAGGTAAACAAACCTGTCAGGCCCGCCAGGATGCTTACCCTGGCGAGCCGCATGCCAAAGGTTGCCGATACCTGTTTTAGCTCATCAACGTCACGTAAGCATTTAAAGTGTTTTGCAGTTTTTTTTAGTACTCATTAATTTTATTTGCTTTTACTTTAATTATTGCATTGTTTACTGACTACATTAATTTTAAGAATTTTATTTTGCAGTTTTAATTGCAGTTATACTAATAGTGTTTTTAATTAAGTTTACATAGTCTAATTTTAAAGGTTTTTTTTAAAGACCACTAAGACCTTGACAACTTTTCCTGTTTTTGAGTGGCTGCTCGATACTTCTTTAAAAAAATACAAAGGCTGAGCTTTTTCTTTAGCATATTTATTTGAAAGTTTGTTAGTAAAGTTAGAGTTTTTTGGCTTTTTAAAAAATAGACTTTTTTTGTTGTGACTTTTTAAATGGGTAATGTATTCACATTTTTAACTTTAAATTATTTTAGTGCACTATTTACCTCTTGTGACACAGGTTGTAGCTGATTTTTACACTTTAAATAAAGCATCTATTAGCATCTAATTTTATTAAAACAGAAATTCAATATTTCTTTTTTGCATAACCTGCACTTCTTTAAGAATGCAACGTTTGTTTGGTTCTTTTAATTAACTTTTTAATCTAAACTTTTTTTTATGCTTACATTATGCCTTAATTTAATTTATATTTCTTGGAATGATTATATTCATTTAAGATAGAATCTTAATTCCCCCCCCCAATACATTCCTAGCCATCCCAATGATAATTAATTTCTGGGAAACATCCTCAGCAGAATTATTTGAAGGTGTTGCACCAGAGAGTAAAGGCACAGAGGCAGTGGCTGTGGGAAACAGGGTAAGTTTCATTACTAATCCTGCTCTTAAAAAGAGGGGTCATTTTAGAAAAATAGTTTAACTTACAAGCACTGAGAGACTTTAAGAAAGTCACTAATCATGGGAACAATGGGTCTCTTTGGAACATATTTTAATTGACAAGCCCTTACAGCCTTTCTGAGAAATAGGATAGAACTATGGTCAAAATTAAATGCAAATTAATAATCATGCATCATGAGGAGAAAGAGGAGGGAATACAAGTTAAAATATAATGAAAAAAAGCCTCTCAGAAAGGGAGTATATCAGTTTAGTAGCAGTTTTGCCATGTCAGGGATGAGGTGGGAGATGATTTTCTTTCTCCCTCCCCCCCCCCATCTCTTTTTAAAAGTCCCAAAAGGACTAAAAGTGGGTGGCATAGTTTATTTTTTATTATTTTGTTTACTAATTAAATCCATATTCTAAGGCCAAATTTGGCATAGGTAACTTTGTTCCCACGTTTTCTTGTTCACCAAGCATAGAACTTAGTACTGGCCCTGAACGACATTAGCCCCCTTTTGTTTGGACTAATTTAATTTTCTGTAGTTGGTCTTCTTGTACCTGTGCATGGCATTCATGGCTGAAAATAATTTAACCTACTTTTCGTCAACTTGTTGCTGTAGGGTATTTTAAGATCTTATGAACTTTTGTCTTCTTTTTACAGTGAAGTAAGGAAGAGAGTTCAAAATGTGGGTGTTATTAGAATTATATTCGGTGGTTAGTAGAGATGGGGACAAGGCAGAAAGTTTGGATCCAAACCAGCATTCAGTGCTGTCAGCGATCGCAGGAGAGCAAAGGAACCCAAGGATCATTGGTTACTAAGTCTCCCAGGCAGAGGGAGGGGAGAGGGTAAAAGAGAAGACAGAAAATGAAGGAGAAATAAGTGTATGTTTGCGGGGGCGAGGGGAAGGTCACAAGCTCCCAAACCTGCCCACATCCAGTCATAGAGTCATAAAGTCTAAGGCCAGAAGGGACCACTGAATCATCTGGTCTGACCTCCTCTCTAGCACTGGCTGCCAACACCACCCAGCACCCGCCCACTAAACCCAACAGCTGGAGTGAGACCAAAGTCTTGCAATCCCCAGGAGACTAGACTCTTACATGCCCTAGGCAGAGAATAGGAGGGACTGGGGTGCACCAGTGCTCCAGGCCCCTGCAGTGGCAGGGAAATGATTAAGTGAGATAATTCTGAGTAATCCTAGTGAGTGCCCCGCATCCCACGCTGCAGAGGAAGATGAAAACCCTCCAGATCACTGACAGCCTGATTCGCGGGGGGAATATTCCTTCCCCATTCCACTTATAGTGATCAGTTAGACCCTGAGCTTGGGAGCAAGAACCAGCCAGCCAAGCCCTGAGAGAGAGGGTGATTGATGTCACCTCACAGCCCTCGTCCACCCCACCCAATAGCCTGTTGTCTTCTCCAGCCGTTCCTGAAGCTTCAGAGGAAGGAGATTAAAAAACCCTCTCAAAATACATTGGCGGGAAAAAATCCCTTCCTGACCCCTGCGAGTTGTGGCCCTGAAGCATGAGGCTGAGCAACGTAATACATAAAATGGAAGTGAGCCCCACTTAATGTTTCACTATTTGTCTCTATTGACAATGGCTTCTATCTTAATATCACCAGCAAACTTCATTTAATTTACCACACCAGCACTAGGGAGTCTTTGTCCTGTCCCTGCCTCTGCCTGGTCCCCTCCATTGCGGGAGTTGCCCCCAGGGTTTTAAAACTAGCACAGTGGGTTTAGTGCTACTGGGAGGGGTTGAGTCTGCGCTGTGATAAAGTGATGGAATGTTTTCCCAGCATATGACTCAGAAACATCTTGTGCAGGGAAAGGGCCGGGGCAAATCATGATGTGACGGAAACTAACTTCTAAAATCTTCCCTGTTACCCTTCTCACCCTGACAGGCGGCAGAGTAACGCCCACCTTTGGCTCCAGATTGTTCCAGCCTCCCACAGGACAGGGAAGGAACTGGCTGTAGTGGAGCCAGTCCAGGTAGGGATTATTGTGGGGTTGCTAGTGGGTTCCTGCTGGAGGGAGAGGGGCAGGAAATACTGAGGGCCTGGGATCTTTGGGGGAGCTCAGTCTGGAGGTGGGATGGGGGCAGGAAGTACCCAGGGGAGAAAGGGAGGGGAACAAGGCATGTGACAAACTTGCTGGGAATTGTTTAACCCAAGTCCTGGATTCCGGGAACAGACTCATGGGGTTTGGGGAGGAAATTATCCTATTTGTATAGCGGGGCTGGTGGGGGAACACTGGACAGCGCTGGGAAAATGTATCAGATTCCCAGTGCAAGAACATAAACCTACTCGCCAGAGGCCGCTACGAAATTCAAAGGAGCGGGGTGGGAGGTTACCCACCAGTGTGGCCTAGAGTAGATAACCCCTCCCCTTCCTTCCAGCTGCTGGCAATGGGAAATCTGTTGGGATTCCTACTGGGGAGCCAACCCTGGAGCCTGCTGGGGACCCCATTTCCCATATCAGCCTCTGGCTTGTAGGTGTGTGATGAATGAGAAGACCCTTCCCCCTCTGTCTGCTGGGAGGGATGAGGGGATCTCTATCTCGCCTCCTGTTTTGCCTCCTGGTTGCTCGGAGCAGGGTGGGGGTGGGACTCTGCTGACTGTCTCTCTCTCAGAGCATCCATTTGATTGGCTCCTTTTCCCCATGAATAGCTCTTGCTCTTTCAGGGGCCGGTGACTTTCGAGGAGGTGGCTGTGTATTTCACCAGGGAAGAGTGGGCTCTGCTGGACCCCCGTCAAAGAGCCCTCTGCAGAGATGTCATGCAGGAGAACGATGAGAATGTGACCTCGCTGGGTAAGGATTCCTGTCCCCTCCATTCTTAGAAGGGGAAATGAAGAGTTAAGGTTCATGCCACTCCCACAATGCCACCTGTACTCTGCGCTGTCTCAGCAACAGCCCATTGAGTGCATTGAAATGGGGAAGACTAGGTCCCTCAGGGTTCACATGCACCTCTCTGCATATCACAGTAACAGCTCTGCCAAGCTGCTCCAACTACTCCCTCCACCATCCAGTTACAGCTGACCCAGTGCACAGAGCTGGAGGGCATGTCGATAAATGCTGGTATTCCCATCTCCAGAGGTGAAAGTAAGCCGGTACGGGCCGGTACAGAGGACCGGTAAGAAAAGGAGACTGGCTGAGGGAGGGAGAAGCCTGCCCCCTGCATAAGAACAGTTTAATCTCAGCTGTTCCCCTGCGTGGTTCAGCCCCCGGGGTTAGGAGCAGTTTCTGGCATCCTTGTTAATTTCACTCACAGTTGCTGGGGGGAGGGTGTGTGTGACCATGGCAGGGGCAGTTCTCTTCTGCCCCCGGGATGAGGGGATCTCGCCAATACTAATATACACAACAAATACAAGCATTTGGCTGCACAGCTTAAATCCAGAGCTAATAAAAGCAGGCGGAAGGGGAAAACTCACTGTCACATTGGTTTCTGTCTCCTCCCTCCTCCTCCAGCCAGGCTGCAGACAGTAAGGCTCTGCATTCCTCCCCACCCCCCACTCAGCAGGGGCTCTCCTGTAGGGTCTAGCTTGCAGTGAGCAGGGAGAATGGCTGAGATGCCTGCTGCTGCTGCCTGCAATAGGGGGTGGCAGGTGGGGGCTGCAGCTCCAACCGGAACCACTACCCACAGCAAAGCCGCCCCAGCCCCCGGCTCAGTCCTGGCACGTGGAAGGTGTGAGTGGGCCAGCCCAGCGTGGGCAAGCAAGGGGCATCCATGGGAAGGACTGGATGGAGCAAAGCATCCTTATAGCAACTCCCAGATTGGGCCATACAGCTGCTCCTGCTGCTCTCCCTGTTGTCGTGCCATGCCTCGAGCTGAATATGCTGCACATCGGCCCTTTCCAAGCCACAATTTCACATATGGCATGGGATTCCACTGAGTATAAGAAGGTCCCACACATGAAATGAATAGCAAGTCCGCTATTAGAGAAAGTTTTGTCAATTTCAGCCTCTGCACTCTGCAGGCCGGACAAAACAAAAAGAGATCTGAGATTGCACCCGATGTCCTAAGGACATTTCAGGTGTTCAAATCAATATATAAAGAGGGTGGAATGAAAACTACTATTTCTTTCAAAGGAGGCACAATAATTTCCCTGAATATCCAGTTTTCCCCTCCAATCCCTTTGTGGTTTTGTCTATGGGGGCTATTTGCTTTCCCTGTGAAATTAATGGGCAGAAGGTTTAAAACAAATAAAAGGAGGTTCTTCTTCACACAGCACACAGTCAACATGTCCAACTCCTTGCCTGAGGAGGTTGTGATGGCTAGACTATAACAGGGCTTAAAAGAGAACTAGATAAATTAATAGATTTCAGAGTGGTAGCCATGTTAGCCTGTATCAGAAAAAAGAACGAGGAGTATTTATGGCACCTTAGAGACTAACAAATTTATTTGAGAAACAACTCTGACATCACAATGAAAAAGGCTGACAAAGGAGGTGCTGTCGTTACCATGAATAGGTCCAAATATGAACGAGAGGCTGCTAGGCAGCTCTCTAACACCACATTCTACAAGCCATTACCCTCTGATCCCACTGAGGGTTACCAAAAGAAACTACACCATCTGCTCAAGAAACTCCCTGAAAAAGCACAAGAACAAATCTGCACAGATACATCCCTAGAACCCCGACCAGGGGTATTCTATCTGCTACACAAGAGCCATAAACCTGGAAATCCTGGACACCCCATCATCTCAGGCATTGGCACCCTGACAGCAGGATTGTCTGGCTATGTAGACTCCCTCTTCAGGCCCTACGCTACCAGCACTCCTATCTATCTTTGAGACACCACTGACTGTCACTTCCTGAGGAAACTACAATCCATTGGTGATCTTCCAGAAAACACCATCCTGGCCACTATGCATGTAGAAGCCCTCTACACCAACATTCCACACAAAGATGGATTACAAGCTGTCAGGAACAGTATCCCCGATAATGTCACGGCAAACCTGGTGGCTGAACTTTGTGATTTTGTCCTCACCCATAACTATTTCACATCGGGGACAATGTATACCTTCAAGTCAGCGGCACTGCTATGGGTACTCACATGGCCCCACAGTATGCAAACATTTTTATGGCTGACTTAGAACAACGCTTCCTCAGCTCTTGTCCCCTAACGCCTCATCTCTACTCGCATTACACTGATGCCACCTTCATCATCTGGACCCATGGAAAAGAAGCCCTTGAGGAATTCCACCATGATTTCAACAATTTCCATTCCACCATCAACCTCAGCCTGGACCAGTCCACACAAGAGATCCACTTCCTGGACACTACAGTGCTAATAATCAATGGTCACATAAACACCACCCTATACCGGAAACATAATGACCGCTATACTTACCTACATGCCTCCAGCTTTCACCCAGACCACCCCACATGATCCATTATCTACAGCCAAGCTCTAAGATACAACTCCATTTGCTCCAATCCCTCAGACAAACACCTACAAGATCTCTATCAAGCATTCTTACAACTACAATACCCCCTGCTGAAGTGAAGAAACAGATTGACAGAGCCAGAAGTGTACCCAGAAGTCACCTACTACAAGACAGGCCCAACGAAGAAAGTAACAGAACGCCACTAGCCGTCACCTTCAGCCCCCAACTAAAACCTCTCCAGTGCATCATCAAGGATCTACAACCTATCCTGAAGGATGATCCTTCACTCTCACAGATCTTGGGAGACAGGCCAGTCCTTGCTTACAGACAGCCCCCCAACCTGAAGCAAATACTTACCAGCAACCACACAACAAAAACACTAACCCAGGAACCTATCCTTGCAACAAAGCCCGTTGCCGACTCTGTCCACATATCTATTCAGGGGACACCATCATAGGACCGAATCACATCAGCCACACTATCAGATGTTCACATGCACATCTACTAATGTGATATATGCCATCATGTGCCAGCAATGCCCCTCTGCCACATACATTGGCCAAACCGGACAGTCTCTATGTAAAAGAATAAATGGACACAAATCAGATGTCAAGAATTATAACATTCAAAAACCAGTCGGAGAACACTTAAGTCTCCCTGGTCACTCGATTACAGACCTAAAAGTCGCAATATTACAACAACAAAACTTCAAAAACAGACTCCAACAAGAGACTGCTAAATTGGAATTAATTTGCAAACTGGACACCATTAAATTAGGCTTGAATAGAGACTGGGAGTGGATGGATCATTACACAAAGTAGAACTGTTTCCCCATGTTTATTTTCCCCCCTACTGTTACTCACACCTTCTTGTCAACTGTTGGAAATGGGCCATCCTGATTATCACTACAAAAGGTTTTTTTTTCTCCTGCTGATAATAGCTCATCTTAACTGATCACTCTCGTTATAGTGTGCATGGCAACACACATTTTTTCATGTTCTCTGTGTATATATATATATATCTTCCTACTGTATTTTCCACTGCATGCATCCAATGAAGTGGGTTTTAGCTCACAAAAGTTTATGCTCAAATAAATTTGTTAGTCTCTAAGCTGCCACAAGTACTCCTGTTCTTTCTGCAGATAAATTCATGGAGGTTAAGTCCATTAATGGCTCTTAGCCAGGATGGGTAAGGAATGGTGTCCCTAGCCTCTGTTTGTCAGAGGGTGGAGATGGATGGCAGGAGAGAGATCACTTGGTCATTACCTGTTAGGTTCACTCCCTCTAGGGCACCTGGCATTGGCCACTGTTGGCAGACAGGATACTGGGCTGGATGGACCTTAGGTCTGACCTAGTATGGCCGTTCTTATGTTCTTATGAAGGGAGAGGCATAGCACTGCAACAGAGTTTCTATAGTGTAGTGATTATCACATTTGCCTAACACACAAAAGGTCCCTGGTTTGAAACCAGGCAGAAACATGGTGGCTTACTTTTCCCAGCTCCCCTAGCTGTCCAGCAAGGTGCTCCTACTGCTGCCATTGCCCTGTCCCTGCGATAACCCCAACCCCTACATGACAGAGGGTGGTGAAATGAGCTGAGGAAAAGCCTTGGCATGAGCAGGGGGAAGCTAGAGGATCTAGGCCAGTCACCTTTTGAAGCCTTGTGGCTTGGCCTCCTCTGCCCCGAGAGTTTGGCCTATGGAGGCCGGCTCTTCCTGCTGGCCTCCTTTGCGTGACTTGCCAAAGGAGGAAGTGAGGCAGGAATGGGGCAAAAGAGGAAAGTCATGCTGAGGAAGGCAGGGCAGAAGTTAAGCACCTCAGTGTGGCTAAGTGGGGTTAGTAGAGCGCCACCATTCGTTCTGCAAAGTCTGGGGAGGTGCGGTTGGCTGCTGAGAGGTAGAATCCTGTGCCTGCGTCTTGGCTTACCAGGGATGGCTACTTGCAGCCCAGGAGAAGGATGGTTCTGGGTGAAAGGAAGACAAGCAAATCTATGGGAGGAAATTTGGGTGTGGGGTGCGGGCTCTGCGCTGGGGGAGGGGGTTTGGGTGCAGGAGTGGTGGTGCTTACCCCGGGTAGTGCAGCTCCCAAAGTGACTGGTACACACAACACTCTGGTAGCAGCTTCTAGGTGGGCATGGCCAGGGGATCTCCGTGTGCCGCTGCCTGCAGGCACTGCCCTCAGAGCTCCCATTGGCTGCAGTTCCTGGATAATGGGAGCTGCGGAGTTGGTAGTCGGGGCAGGGGCAGCACGTGGAGACACTCCCCCCGCCCCAGGGGATGCCGGGACATGCCAGCTACTTCTGGGAGTGGCACAGAGGGATGGAGGCAGAGTGTGCAGGGAGTCACCTTAGTGCTGCTGGCATATCTCTGCACACCCATTGAGGGAGGGGAGCAGAGGGCCTCCATGCACTGCCTGGGGTAGGGGCAGTGAACAGAGCTGCCTCCCCTCCTACCAGTACCG